ATGCATATCTCTGTTCCATGTACCTTTGCACAAGGTTTGCATTTCACACTAACATCTGTTACTGAAGGCTTTGCTAACTTCTTAAATTGTATAGCAATGGCTGTGCAGTGTGAGCTCTGGGAATATAAAAATTTGGAGAACAAAGATTATACCTCCAAGTATTAAATTTAACACTGTTGGGGGGGTGGAAATTATACACACACAAGCACACACATACAATGTAAACTGCTAAGTAGAAAAAATAGGCTGTATTTTTAAATTGTGCTTCTGTCAGACCTTTTTGCCTTCCACAATGTAGTAGGTGCTACTTTTGATCATCTAGTGTATTTTAATCATGTTGCCTTTTAGATACCTTTTGAGAAATTTATGGTTAAAAAGCAAATCAGAAGGTAATTTTCAGTTTCAAATGTTGTAAACTGAAATTTTATATGATATTTGGGGGGGTGGTGATCAGCCATATTTCTTCCATTTAAAGCTTTTAATAAAACCAACCAAACAAAAGATCTAAAACCTTGGTATTCCTCATGCCCTCTACGCTTCTTAAGTATATGTTAACTACTTTCACATGTGTTTTGTTCGCTGACTCAAAATCATCCCTTTATTTAAAACAAAAAAAAAAAAAGAAAGAAGAGATTGTGTAATTAGTATGTAATTGCTTTGGATATTTTGGGTATTTGGAGGAGAGGGTAATTCAAAGGCCAGAGAAATTAAACTTTCACAATGTTCTTTACCATCTGTAATTCCATTTTAAAAATACCCTCTAAAGACAAGCCTGACAACTTAAAAATAAATGAAGGTCTGTGTTGTTTTGCGAAAGAAAAATTAGCATCAGTTTTAGCTATGATGCAGTCTTATTGATTTTAAGTTGAATGTGAGAGAGGACCATTGGAGTGTGAGAAATCAAGAAATGATTTAGTTCATCTCCTCTGCAGGCAAGTGTCATGTAAAGTAACACCTGACCAATAGTCAGCCACCATCATGGACTTCAGAATGTTCGAGGAAGAAAATAAGAATGTCCCGGCACCACTTCCTAATTAATACTTGAATATAGCCTGGTAGAACCAATTGGAACTTGATGGACATCTGTCTTATAGCTTTATTACTTTGAGGTGTTTGCTTAAGCTTGGGGTCATCACTTACCTACTTGGCTACTTTGTTCATGCACAAATTGAGGAGTTCATGTACTCAGAAATAGTTTCATGAGGCAGTCATTATATGAAAAGTTAAATTTGTGAGTCTGGAGGCTATCAAGTTTGCCTCTAAGTGATAGACACTTGTATTTTGATCGTGAACACTTGAATTATGATATTAGACTGAATAGTAATGAAATATGTCAGATTTCTTTAAACTAGAATTTGCCATATTCCCTGAATGAGGCAGGGTTACAGGATTCAAATTTTGATTTCATATCCATTTCTAATCATTTGAGAAAGTTAAACTGAAAGTACTATTTTATTCTATCACTATTTTTTCTTTTCCCTTTCAAATGTTATTCTTACTTTTTTTCTTCAACGAAAAAAGAAAGAACAACAGATTACCTAAACATCTAGTTTCCACTTGGAAATTTTAACCATATGTACATTTCACTTGCGTATATATGAATTAATAAAAGAACATTAATGACATAAATGGCAACACTGACTAGAGAAGAAGTCCATCTAGTAGCCTAGCAGCTAAAATCCTCACCTTGCATGTGCCAGAATCCCATCTGGGCACTGGTTCTAATTCCAGCAGCTCCGTTTCCCATTCTTCTCCCTGCTTGTGGCCTGGAAAAGCAGTCGAGGACAGCCCAAAGCCTTGGGGTCCTGCACCCACATACAGGAGACCTGGAGGAAGCTCTGGGCCCCTGGCTTTGGATTAGCGCAGCTCCGGCCATTGCAGCTGCTTGAGGAGTGAATCATCGGATGGAAGATCTTCCTGTCTCTCCTCCTCTCTGTAGGTCTGACTTTCCAATAAAAATAAAATAAATCTTTTTAAAAAAAGAAATTGTACCAAACTTTATGAAATCAGTAGGTACATGATTGTTTAAATAATGACAACTATGGGAACAACTGAGGCAGACAGGGTACAGGAGTTAAGGCAACACTGGGTATGCTTGAATCCCAAATCAGAGTGCCGCCTTGAGTCTTACTTCATTTCCAACTCTGCTAATGCACCCTCGGAGGCAGCATGTGGTAATTTAAGTTGCAATGCCACCCACAGTGGAGATCCTGATGGAGTACCTGGTTCCTGCTTTAGGTCTGTGCCAACCCTGGATTTTTTTTTAAGGCATTTGGAGAGCAAAGCAGTAGATGGAAGATTCTCTCTTTCTCTCTCTCTCTTGCTTCTTTCTGTCACTCTGCTTTTCAAGTAGATGAAAAATAAGTAAGCACTCAAAGCAAATTTTTAAAAATAAAATACTAAAGATTACTGAAAAAATCAGGGAATTTTTCCCATCAGTGTTCAGGAAAGGGTTATAGTCCTTTTCTTTACCACTAAGGTGTACCTTAAATTCAGACATTTGGGACCAAGGAAGAAAAACAATCGCAAAGGTCATCAAATAAAACCTTAAACTTTAGGTCAAGTTTGGCAGCTCTGTGCCTTGCTGATGTGTGGTGGATTGAATCAGGAAAGAGAATTATCAGCCCAGATAGGCTTTACAGAAAACATGTATATTCTTAAAAATATACTTGTCCTTTCTTCAACTATCTCTTCTTTTGAACATGTTGCTGAGAGTGGGACAACAGACGAGAAATTTAAAAATGAAAAAGGAATGTTGTTGCCCTAAGAGCAATGAAGCCCAGAATGTGAGAGGCAGGTTTGTGCAGAGTGCTAAAGGGAGTGAACAAAGAACGAGGCAGAAAGAAAGCAGTGGGAACTGGCCTACAGGTAACAAGTTTTCAAGGTCTGGGAGCCAAGATAGGAAATCAGAACTGAACAAAATAACATGAAAACTGAAACAGGAGGAAAAGCAATGAGAGTTTAGTAAATAAAGGAAAAGATGCCCAGTATACAATATTTCAGATGTGAGGACCAACCTCTTCCTGTGGAAAATAGAAATCTGATGTCAGTAATTATACAGGCTTTTACATACTATCCTTTGTGTACTAGGTCAAATGTATCATGAGAGAAACAGAGGAGTGTCTGAGAGAGGAAAAGAGAGCAAGTGAGAGCATGCATCACTTGAACTTTGAAGTTTTCTCCAAAAAAATTAAAAATGAAAAATGTCCTCTAGCCTCACTTGATGTTCAAGTCTCAGGGTTCGGGTTTATTTTATTTACACATTAATTAAGTCATGCAATGTAAATTGTGAGTGTTGTATTAGTGATTTTGGTGTAGTGAACAAGAATGCATTGTCTGCCTCTTAAAGAGATTTTTACCATGTGCATTTAGTTTGCTTGGTGACCTCTAAAATTTTGTTTTGATTTGCTGTCAGAAACATAATCGTTTTTCATTCTGAAACATATTTTAACATCTGCAAAGGTAGATCAAGCTAGGATACTATTAATAAAATATTAATCTATTTTAAGGTCAACCCAGCTTTTAAAACTGATCATCAGCTACCTAAAACATCACTTCAGGGTGCTGGAGTTGCTTGTAATAAATATCTTTTCAATTAAACACTCTTGCTGTGGTCAGATTACAGTTAGAAAGTTTTCCAGTGTGATGTGTCTATAGCCCTGTTTCCAAATTGTTTTGTTTTTGAAGTTACATCAATGTGTACTTTATTTTCTCAACAGTTACTTTAAAATTTTTTATATTTCAAGCAAAGGGAATAGTTTTGAATTCTGGATCTTTTAAGTACATTGACATTTTAACAAAATTTAACTTAAATATCTACTTTAAATATGTGTCCGTCATTAAAAGGTTATTTACGTTTAAAATGCTGACCTTTCAAGATATACACAAGAGTGTTCTAAAACAGAGTTTCTGAACATTGGCCATGAAACCACTGTCTTGGACTGACAAATGGATTGGAAATAAGTTACCCAACACTGGGAATGGGCCATTAATTTTAATCAAAGGTGATGCGGGCAGGCGAATAGGATGCATGACAATGTCAACAGCCCAGTAGGTGTTAACAGACCACACAGCCTTCCTTGTTACTTGGTTGGGCCATTAGTTGAGGTTGGGTGAAGACAGAAAGCCATGTCTGGAATTGAATGACCAGGTCACTCCAAAATCTAATGGAGAACTCCCCATTTCAGAAATCGCATTGTAATGCCATTAGAAGTCAAGGACAGCATTGAGAACATACTGGAGGCTTTTCAAAGCAAGCACCTTGCCAGTTCTTTCCCAGGTTCCTATTCCTAACTTTGTCAGCTTCCTATTTTTCTTTTTCCCCTTCCTCCTAAATGGATCATTGATATTTACAGAGGATTGAGTAATCAGACTCAGTTTAAAAAAAATCTTGAAGCCTGTTTGCTTTTTAGAATTACATATTGTTAGCTTTAAAAGTCTCATAAGTGCCAGAAACAATGGTACAGCAGAAAGAATGAAACAAGATCATTAATTCTTTGTGGTGATTTCATTGTCCTTGTCCCTTTCTTGAGAACAGAAATAATTTCACTAATTGAAACTGAGCTTTCTTAATTGCTTTAGGGAAAGCATTTGTTTCATAATTGCCAAGGCCACTGTGCTTGTGCCTTCTTGTAAATTGTCAATATTGGCTGATAACATTAGTGATGTTTATGGGAGTGAAATCCTTTTTTTTCAATCAGTAAGTCTATTTCTTTATTTTGAGTGTTTTCAATTATTAAAAAAAGGTAGCATGTGACAGCTTGAATTAATGATGTTTATAAAAAAGACATAAAATGCAAAAGGGACAAAGAAGCATTTTTATATGTATGCTTCAGGTTTGTTAAGAAAGTTCATTTATTCTGACACAGCACTGAATGTATAAAAAAGACATGTATGAGTACATTAGCAATTTTTACACATGTTTAAGGAAGAAAAGCAATTATAATCCTGTCTTGTTAATGGGATACTGTTATAAGTAATGGTATTTGTTCTTCCTGTAGACGAAGATCAGCTCCGTGCAAAGGGTTATGACAAAACACCAGACTTTATTTTACAAGTACCAGTCGGTAAGTCTTTAAACTATGATGTAGCTTTGTTTATAAAGAAATCGGATATATTTTTTCCATATTTGGAGGGAGGGTTGTTAATGTGTTAGTACTAGAAAATGGTACCAGTGCTGATTAGCTTAAAGGGCAACCTAGTTGGAAATGATCATCTTAAAATAGCAAAAAGAACAGATTCATAAGGAATCTATGCCTTAACTAACATACATCTGAGAATGAATATGAATTGTAAAGACATCTTAGTTGCATTTGCAACCTAGTGCTTTAAAGTCCGAATGCTTTAAGCACCATTTTGTTGAAAAGTCATGCTCACCACGCTCTGTTTGATATGTCACTTGCCGAGTTATAGTCAGTCTCCAGACCAGGAGAGATACTTTCATTGAAAAATATAATGAAAGCAAAAGGATATGATTGCAACATAAATGTTCCCTGTAACAAACTTTTACAGTGTGTTGTGTTATAATGAAATCCATAGAGGATGGTAAGAACTAAACCTCAGCTTATTAATGTGAAACCCAGAGAGGCCTGTGCAGAGTTGAGGATTTTCAATCTTCCCTTCTCCATCTATTAGTAATGCTTTGTCCCTTAGCTGTAGAAGGGCACATAATTCACTGGATTGAAAGCAAAGCCTCATTTGGTGATGAATGTAGCCACCACGCCTACCTGCATGACCAGTTCTGGAGCTACTGGAATAGGTAAGGTCCCATTATTTTTCTCTTAAGATGAACGATACTCTGCTGAAATCTCATTAGAAGAAATATTTTGTTTAGCTGGTAAAAGTGCTAGTAGCCTTTGTTCCAAGTAAATATGGAGTCGTGATTAATGTATTCCTTACAGATAATTTAAGCTTCTCGGCTTTCATAATATTGCTTCATTTTTTAAAACTAAAAATCTATGTGTGGGGTCAAAATTGTTATAGGCCCCATCTCAATTTTACAGTGATAACATTGGTATCATTTAAAATATGGACAATGAAATGTGGTGTATATTTTGATATTGATAGTGGATTTTTATTCTTTTCATATGAAACGCATGCTTACTGTTAGGTCACAAGAAAATGACCCATCCTCAGCTCTCTGAGGACCATATCCAAGCAGTCTCACACATGACGGTGATCTGCTTCTAACCGGGGAAAAGTTTCCTTACCAGCTTCTGTCAGCATTCCAGAAGATAGGGAAATGTCAGTGACTAAGAAAAGGATGGGCACAGGAGTGGCTGTTTTGTTGAGTACCCGCCTCATGCCTAGGCCTACTGATTATTTCAGCTAATCCTCACAAGAAAGCTTAGTTTTATTCACACATTACAAATGACTAAGCTAATACTCAAAGTGAGAAAATACTATACCATCCAATGCACATTATCACAGAGCGACATTGCTTTCCCATTCCTAACCCTGTACTAGTTCCACAACAATGCTGTTGTCATTTACAACACAACCGTTGAAACTTTGGCTGTTTCTATGATCGCAGAGTTGAGCTTTCACACCACAGCTTTTCTGCCTTCAAAGCAGAGGTAAGTCAGATGGTAACCTTCCTGATTGCTGTGCTGTCCAGTCACGGACAAGAATACAACAGTAAGAGGACATTGGTTCAGATTGTACAGATTCAGGCAGCAGCATCTGTGGACAACAGCATTGTCCTAGTTGTAGGGCATTAGGAGTGATAAGCTGCAAATTTGGCATTACATTGTTGTTCAGCTCTGCAAAAAGCCAGCGGACCTCGCCTATGGCAGCTGTGCTAAACTAAGCCTACTTTTTGCCATGGTAACAATGATCATGACAAAATGCTGAACGTAATGGCTTTCTTGATTTTCTTGTGTAATTGCGCGTGGCATCCAAGCTTTACTTTACAGGGATGGAGGAGGAAAGCGCAAAATGTTTTAGAAATCAATGCTGCTTCAGCGTTTCCTGTGTTTTATTCAGCCATTATTCAAATTAGCAGTAATGTGGCAAATTGAATTTTAGATTTTTTAGCAATTTTATGATGAGTTTGAAATAGTAAAGAAAGCATCATTTTTGATAGTATGAAAAAAAAAAGCAATGACAAGAAAATCAAATTGCATAAGTTCAGGTTACTAACAGATTTAAAAAGCCAATCGACTCTATCAGTATTCATTGAGACATTTTCCCACTTTTGATAGTGGTCAGATTTTAGATAAGAAACAATTACAAACTAAATCCCAAATGGTAGGATCTTCTTGAAAATTCTAAAAGCATATCTCTTTCCAAAACAACTCAACTCTACCCACTGTGTACCTAGCACTCACCATTTGGAAACTGATTCATATTCTAGTCATTGTGTTGGTGGATTTGTGGATTATTGACATTACTGGAAGGGGTCTGAGTGATAGATAATTTGATAGTTTTCCTTTGGGCTGGATTTTTATATTATTTTGTTGCATTCTGCTGTTTTATCATAATAATGTTTTACTTAAACTATTGATTTACATTCCCTGAACACATCCTTTAGATAGATACCTAGTAGGTTGGCATCGCTCATTTGATAGGGAAGGTCAGCCTTGGTTTTAATGGTTCAGATGATGCAAGGAGAAAATAACCTTACACAGAAGTCACTCAAGTCTTTGGATTTCAATAGGGATGTCAAGATATCCAAGTGGTACCCAAATTCAAAATAAAATGGAGGCATTTACTTGGATATAAATTTTGGGTTATGATAATGACACATTCTTATCAGCGATGGGACATTTCTACAAAAAAAGTGAGTCCATTTGAGAAAATACAGAAGTCTACATTTTCATCTCAGCCCCACTCAGAGCAGTGGCTAGAACTCATGAGAGTTGGAAGAAATTCTGTGCTATCTGTGGAAAGCCCGTCAAGGGGGCTGCTGGTTGGCTAATTGCTTTATTTGTGTGATAAATTTCTGATTAATATAAAAGCTATTATTTATCACATTATTTTCAAAATGAAGAGTGGATTTTAGAAATGGTGATATGTTGCAGTGGTAAAGTTGCTACTTGGATCCCCTGTATTCCATATTAGAGTTCCTGGTTTGTGTTTGGCTTACAATCTGGCTTCCTGCTATTACACACCTTGGGAGGCAACAGATGATGGCTCCCACATTTGGGTCCCTGACCTATCTTGAAGGCTCAGATGGAGATTGTGGGTCCTGGCCTTGGCTTGACCCGTCTGTGACTTTTGCAGGCATTTGAAATTAACTAGTGAATGAAAGAGCTCTCTCTCTTTCTCTCTTTCTCTGTCTACCTATCAACTTAGAAGGGGAGAAAGGTTATTTTTAAAAGACTTAATTTTTTTAGAATAACGTAGAAATAACTATAGAGGCTCTAATTCTATGATTAAAACTTATGTATGATTCTTTTATAATACATTGTCACACTAAATATTTCAGCACTTTTGACATGATAGATCTTCCATTCTTATTTATTACAACATTGTCTGCTCCTGGCTTCCGAGACAACATTTTCTTCTGGGTTTAAGCCCTCATGTCTAACACATACTCAGTCTCCTCTGCTGGCTCTTCTTATACTTTACAGTGCTTAGGCTGAAAATACCTGGAAGTTAATGCCCAGCCCTCTGCCCTCTTCTGTCTGCACTCTTTTCCTGCAGGACCTTTCAGGGATCCCTTTAGGTCCTGGGGCTTTGTATTACTATGTCTGCCCTGCTTCTGATAGTTATTACCTCTAACCCTTGCATTTCCCCCGAGCGCATAAGTGTTTGTCCAGTCAGTATTTCCTCGAGTTTCTCTGACAGCTGTCCCAGACTCAGCAGGTCCAAAACTAAAATCTTTTTCATTTCTGCTTCCCAGTCTCATTACTCCCTTTTTCCTCCGAGTTCAGCTAATCATGGCAGTTTGTCGAGACATTCCATCAAAATCCTTAGTAAGATCACAGATCCATGAGTGAGTTCTTCCAGCTCTGTTCTCACTACGTTTCAAAGCATGTCATTTATTAACACCTCTACTGCTGTCACCTTGGGCTGTTGGCATCTTTCACTCAATTGCTCTAGTTCCACACTAATCTCATGTCAACTTTTACAGCCTCAAGTCAGCATTCCTAGCCCAGCCAAAGCAACTCTTGGAAAATATAAATTGGGTTATGTCACTTCCTTACTCAGAAGGTCTCAGTGAGGTCCCATCACACTTACAATAAGGTTCAGACTGTGTACTGCAGCGTTTCAACTCCTGTAATGATTTGCCTTGCTTCCAGTCCCAGGTCCTTCCCTGTATACCCTCCTCCCTTCACTTAGGCTCTTTCTTTCTCTCCCCTATACTTCTTCAGCCACACTGGCTTTCTTGGTCTTCCTGGAACTGTTTGATCTCTTTCGGGCTAGTCTTTCTGCTTGACATTCTGTTCACTTTAATCCCCACATAGCTGTGTCCTCACCACATTGAAACCTTTGCTCAAAAGTCTACTCCTCGGGGAAGCCTTCCCTAACCATGCAGTCCACCTTGTATAATCCTTGCTTTCTCATATTAAGCGTTACCTCCATTGATTGAACAATAAAATATAGTTTTAAACATTATATGAACAGTAATCTGCTTATTTGAATACAAGCTTTTTTAAAAAGAGCTTTCCCAGGAAGGAACATTTGGTTTGGTAGGTAAGGAACCCACCTCCTACAATGGAATGTCTGTGTTCCATGTCTGGCTTTGTTAGTAATTCCAGCTTCCTTTAGTGTAAACCCTGGAAGTAGCAGACATGGCTCTAGTAATTGGATTCCTGCCACCTGCATGACAGACCTTGACTATAGCCCAGCCTAGACCTTCAGCCCTATCTGATTCAGACACTACTTGAAAGCAGCTGATGGAAAATTGATTTATCCATACATCTATCTTCTCTCTCTCTCCCTCTCTCTGCCTCTCAAATCACTTTTAAAAACGCACTTTAAAAATTTGGGCCCAGCACAGTTGCCTAGCAGCTAGGCTCCTTACCAGAATTCCAGTGGGTGCCAATTTGTATTCCGGCTACACCGCTTCCCATCCAGTTACCTGCTTGTGGTATGAGAAAGCAGTAGAAGACTGCACAAACTCTGGGACCCTGAAACCACATGGTAAACCTGGAATAGGCTCCTGGCTCTGGATCAGCTCAGCTCTGGCCGTTGCGGCCGCTTGGGGAGTGAATCAGGGGACGGAAGTTCTTTCTCTGTCACCTTCTCTCTGTATATCTACCTTTCCAATAAAGGTAGATAAATCTTTTTAAAATAATTTTAAAGAGCTTTCCCTTTTGTATTATTATTTCTAACTGCCATCAGTTGTCAAACCATCAGAAAATTCCTTTAGCCAAACCTATCTTTGAAAAAATTGAAATTTTTTCAATTCAGTTACCATTCCCAAAATCAGAATTACTACACCATAAGCTGCCTTTCCTAGAAGTAGACCTCAACCCAAGTATAAACCTTGGCTGAATTACTCAAAACTCCATAGTCTCTGGTCTTACAGTGTTAAAGGAGACGAGTGCCTGTCACTTTAAACTTAGGTCTGGTGGTAGAAGATAAAGTGGGTAAGTGCGTGAAAATATTGAGAATATTGGGTGACCTTACTTGACAAAAAAACAAATGCTGTAAAGCACATTAGCAGTACCCAACAGATGCTGATCAAGAACATGGAAATCATATCCGCAAGTTCAACCTGCTGTGTGCCATCTGGGTACATTCGGGCACATCATCATCAGATCGTCAGTAGCGTCTGTGGGAAGCCAAGTGCACTGCACAGATGCACTT